GTGCAAGAACCGACCATTACAGTGCCAAAAAAATCTATGGTTTCTACATCCAAGAAGGCCTCATCGGGCCACGGTCGAAAGGATCCAGTTCCCCGGAATACGACAATGTCCATAGTATTAAAAACCGCTACAGGACCTCAGGAAGCAAAAGGTAGATAAAATCTTACGTTTTTCCTAAAACTTAGAAGTATATACAAATGATAATTAATATATTCATGATATTTGGGTAACCAAACAGTTGGAGGTGGTCGAGTAGATGACAGCCTGCCCAAAAAATAAATAAAAAAGGAATAAACAAGGAACCGCAGAAGGGGACAGAAGATGAACGTGCAGTTGACCCGAATGCAGTACAATATCATGTACTAAGGACTATGACATCTCCCAGAACACTTCATGAAACAATGCGCACACTAAACGATTCACAACGGGCTGCCGTTACCAGTATGGGATTAGGGAGCCTGCTTGACATAAAAATAGATGGTGTTCCATCTCGTTTGGGTTTTTACGTTGTAGACAACCTAGACACCGTGAATATGAGGCTTAAGGTTCGTCATGGGTCAATTCCAATTACAATAGCCTCAATTCATCAATTATTAGGCTTGCCTACTGGGGGAATTGACATACTTACTACTCAACATGACAAATCCGAGCCAAATCTTAATGGCATGTTTAGGAGGCAATTTGATAAGAAGAAGATGAGACCGAAGGATGTCATGAAACTTATTCAAGGTTCTGGAGATGCATCAGATTCATTTAAAATCAACTTCTTGGTATTGTTCGTGAACTTGATGATAGATTGTAACCGTATGGGCTGTTGCAATCTTAGCTTTTTGTCTTCCATCAAGGATTTGAAACGGATTCACCAGATAGACTGGTGCAAATACCTTTATGATATGTTGTGAACAAGTAAGGAAACTTGGAGCAGATCAAGTAACGTATGTTTTTATGCTGGGCCACTTACTTATCTCACTGTAAGTGTTTTTACTCTATTTTTTAGCATGAACTGTTTTATTTCCTAAGATTAAACCTCTTTGATTTTACTTTTTAATCAGCTTCTATATGTTGAGTCAACAATTTGATTTTACTTTTTAATCAGCTTCTATATGTTGAGTCAACAATATGGCCAGATCAAGTAGTTGACCACATGCGGCCAGCAACAATCGGATGGAGCTTTGACATGTTAAGAAAACGGGAGGCTTGGGAGATAGCCAACGGAGGTTTAGGATCGGCTAAATTATTGGACGTTACAAGGGCGGTTGAAAGAGAGGTATTTATCTAGCTTCTTTGAATATCGTTTAAACTTTTCGCTCCGAGTTACCGAATAAAATTTATGCGGTAGTAATGAATGTTATCTATTAGCGCAACAGTTTAGTTATCTTTAGGTAACGTTTACATTTCATTACTTCAATACTATTGTACGAAACAATTTACTTAACATGAGTTCACTAATGTCACTAAAACATATGTAAATGTTTCATCGCATCTGTTCACTATTATAACTGTTGTTCATTTGAAACTGGTTCACTTTGATTACCGAACACCTTTCAATGAAACTATTTATCACTGCACGAAACAGCCTGTGACGTGTGAATTTCATCATTTTTGATGGATCTGCTTCACCAACGAGTATTGTACATTAGAACTAAATCATTTCAACTCTTCAATGACAGTTTTAAACTTTGCAATCTGTTTTGACCTAAAGGACTACATACATGTTAGTTGCATACATTTCCGTATAAGTAACCTTCAGATTATTGACTGCAATGACTACATGTTCATGACACTACCTCATGGTATTTCACTGTATAATATGCAACTAGTTATTAAGAAACTGGTTCACTTTGTACTTCATCTGTTAATTGCAGTATCACTTCTACTCATATTGGACATGAATCATACGACCGTATCATATTAAAATTGTTATTATGAATCTAATTCATTATATTCTCATTGTTCATTTCAAATCATCTCCATACATATGGTAAATGTTACCATCAGCCTGTTTCATGTCCAACCAGGGTCATCTTAAACTGTATCCTATGTAGTTGGTTCAATATTCTAAACTGATACATTTACGCAACATCTAAAATCCCACAGCTCCTCTATTATGAGACTGTTAATATGTACATTGTTTTTATATAAACATTTGACATTGTTTCGATTACAATCCAATACTGCTATCAATATGACATTGTGTGATGAACCAGTATAATACTTACTAACGAATTAATATTTGAACGTCTTCCTATCATGTGTAGGTTGAAATCAAGATTATCAGAGACATGATCGTCATGTTCTTGATACCAGACGTGAAATCGAATAGCGTTTGATTGCGTGTCAGGCAAAATATCATGCGGATGAGGATTTCGAAGCTCTTGTTGCTGATCTGAATGCCATATTCAGATCCTCTACGCACAATGTTTCAGGTCAACTATCTCTAAACGATAATGTAGACCTGGCAGCTGTTGGTCCATCAACCGAGTTATGTGTTGGTAAACGTGGCGGACATGAAACCCCGACTGATAATGACMTGAATCAGTCACCATTATCCCAATATTGGCTGAGTCAAACATTGCACAAGATATGCGATGAAACCGTTGAGAAATCAATTTCCAGTAAAGAACAGAAGGAGTCGTTAGATATACGGCCACCACAATTTGACTTGGGGATTAGTCCGATGAAGCCAGCGGAACAGTCCACCGTCACGAAGCCACCCTTAAAAGATAAAGGTAAAGGTGTCTGCATCGTTGATGATGCAAAGTTTAAAAAAACCAAACAATTCACTGGATGTCATGGTGAAGACGATACCACCAACCACCTGAAGTCAAAATACGTTACAGCTTCTCGGCGGAGTGTTCGGTTGGGAGATCACCTTAGATCACCTTACCTTCGTCGGGCTATAGACATGAAGGTAACTGCAGAGGATAGGCGTATACATGATTGGGCGATCGCGGAAATTGATCAACCTTGTAAGAATATTTTCTTACTATATCTTCACTGTAGTTCGTTGTTACCAAATGCGCTTACTACCAAATTATCAATGACATATGATTCGACTAATATAATTATGTTTACGTGGCAAATCTGTAGCGACATTGTATTCGAATTGGCGAATTCCACGAACATATTGCGGGGGAATTTGGCAAGTCTAGCATCCAAATCAATTGTCTACACAAATGTTATAGATGGATGGGCAGAATTGCTAAACATGGAGGAAATGTACAGAAGCCGTGATTCACCGCGTCGCTTTTTTTTCGATACAACTGTATTGGTAAGATATATAATATTAATGAAGTGATTTTTAATGAAACAAATCATGAATACATGAATGTTGTCTAACTACATTACTATCATACAGGGAGATCCGAAGCTTAGGACTCATCATGCAAATTTTAATGTTCAGTTTGACATTTTCAGCACTTACCTCGCAAAATCAGTTCGGTTCAACATGGAAATTATTAAAATGCGCAATATGGATCTCGTATGCTCACTATTTACATTTTTCTTGCATTTAAAAGTATGTAGACATTTATTTCTCACATTACATTACGTAACAATTTAACACACACAGGCTTTCTTTCCTATTATGGATTGTGGTCACTATTACATGGTGGTGTTTAACTTCAAGAAGCCATCAGTTCTTGTAATAGACCACATAATTTCGAAAGGTTGTCAGATCGAAGACGATATGGGGTCGTATGAACCCGTTGTAGACTTATTGGTAAGTATACTAACTTCACAATCACTCTTGTACCTGAATGATATTAACGAAATACATTTGTCAATTGATCATTTATTTCCCCAGCATCGCCTTATGATCAAGCATCTAAGAGTTGTAGGCCATCCTAGTTGGCAAGAAATAGATGAAACGGGTCATGAACGCTTGGAAATGAGTTGGCAAACAAAAGACAATTTCGAGGATGCAGGTGTGTTCTTGATGAGGCACATGGAAACTTGGATGGGAGATGAAAGGTCATGGAAGACCGGATTCACTACAGAAGGACCGAATCAAAGAACCCAGCTTACTGATCTAAGGAAGAAATACACGGCAAAGTTAGTACTCAGCAACTTCAGCAAAAGAAGGGAGTCAATCGTGAAAGAGGTTGAAAAGTTTCATGCTATGGATCCCGAAGCCAAAAAGAAAGCAATAGAGCTAGCAAAAGCAACAAAGACATCTGCAATAGCCCTTAACGTTCAATCATAGCAATACATTGGTTTAGCGTTGGTTCACTACTGATACTTTTTTTTTTTGGGTTATTTTCGTAGGTTATGACAAGTAGTTTATAGTGTTTTTTTGCATTCAGTTATGTTTTGATCATTTTCTTTTGAATTAACTGATCTTGTCTTAGCAAGTACTCAAATATTTACTAAGAAACTTAATGCTTAGTCTTTCTTCATATTTCAATCAATAATATCTTTAGTCCTTGATTGTAGTGCTTTTGTTATATATCTTCCTGATGAAACTATAGTATGTTCACTGAATAGTCCATATATTGAATATTACAATGAAACTTTATCATTGCACCTTATGATACTACTAATCAAACACATCACTACCGAATTCTGTTGGAATGACATAAGACATTATATATCATTTCAATTGCACCGTCCCAAACAACCTTCATTTTCATCATAACATTTACAATCTTATCATGAATGGACATTGCTTCACACGTTGTTTAGTGTTTCATCGATTAAACGTTTGTTTAGACCCTATTTGTATATTGTTTCATCAAATTGTGTAGAACGGAAATACGTTAGAAATTTTTTTATCAAACAAATTCCATACACAATTATTTTCTTCGTGATGGACATTTCTCGTTAACACCTTCATCTCATCCCACTCTAAACGTTTTACCATTACATGAACATGATCATCCCAATAATTTTAGCTGACAACAGAATTTCATCGATAACTGTTACTAGATAAGATAAATCAAATGAAACTAAAAACAATGTTCATCACAAATCAAACAATTATAATTCATACACCTAAACCTTTATTTGTTACTATCACCTTTTGATGGACAGTTGCGGGAATCATGCCACCCCATTTTTTCACAAGTTCTGCACAATCTTTTCGGCTTCTTTGCATTCATGGATATCTTCTCTGACATACCAACAATACGCTTTCCGGTCCCACAACCTTTATTACGTATCCCTTTTGGTGGTAAGACATCAACCGATTCAGGTTCGGAATCACATAATAGCTTCTGAATATCATTTCTCTTCTGTTCAGTAYCTGTCAATATTGGAATGTCCACCGAAATTTCATCACCCAAACGTTCCAATCGCTCCACAAACTCTGTTAATGATCCCTTATCATTCCGTACACGCCCAATAATAAGATCAAACATTGACGTAGCCTGGTTCATCAAAGCTTGTTTCTCAACATCCATTTCACCATACCTAACACGAGCCGGCAACAGCTCTACTGGAACTAACTCTCGTCTCCATCGCGGTAAGATGTACTTATCGGGTATACATTGCACCTCAGAATTTAACATTACCTTAAACGCGTGGCGACATAATATACCATTGCGAACAAAATGGTTGCAGCTACAATCAAAAGAATCATCCCCTACATCATGCACCACCTAGCATATCATACATATAGGAAGCGAAATTATAATCATTTACTATGAAATGCGATTCTACTTAATTATTTTTCAAAATTAAATCAAATATTTGAACATCACCTTGTACGTAGCTTTGATCTCAGAATTCTTGTTCTTATGTGTAATACTGTAAATCATCTTATCCCYTACCTCTACTACATCGACGACCCCACAAAACCATACTGCCTTGTTCATTTCCTTTTGCACCTCAAAAAACATTGTTTTTGTGTACACGTTCGCTGCTTGCGCTTCAATTTTGGAYGGTGACAACAATTTAGGTATTGTAGTTCTAGTCGCAACCTCAAGTGAACAATGTTCTTTCCTTTGACTTTCGATTGCATCGTCAAAAGTGTTAAGAAAGTAAACAAGATCATTCCAATACTTCRTATAAACATTAAAGAATGAATTAATACTCTCAGACCTGGAAGTGGTTTTCATAAGACCAGACATTGGGTAGTCCTTGAAGTAGGCTGGAATCCAAGATTCTCTTATTGCATACATTTCTTCGAACCACGAGTGACCCCGCAGTCCAAACTCATCCATCAATSCATTCCATTTCTCCTCAAAAAATTTGGGACTTAGGTGTACATTCCATACGAGTTTGTTGAACTTGCTTTTAAACGGGGTCCCATGGGCTACATGATCACAAATCTTCATAATGAAACAAGCACACAATTACGAAACGCTTACTAATAAAACTTATGTATGCATATATTAGAATTGTACCCAATGGATGAAATTAGACATACCTTTTCCTTAACTTTTTTTGTTATGTGCCACATACACAATCGATGAGTAGATTCTGAAAAAACTATAGGTATCGCTTGTTTCATTGCTGCACATTGATCGGTTATTACAAACTGTGGCTGAGTACCGTGCGCTTTCATAAACGCATTCAATACCCATATGAAATTAACGACAGATTCATTTCTAATCAATGATGCACCGACGACAACAGACTTCTTGTGATTGTCAATTGCAACAAATGGAACAAAAATCATTGCATGTCTGTTAAGATTGAAAAGCATGATATTAATGCATTATTTGCTATAAAAACAAATTGATAACAAATAATTAAAATAGCTTACTTGTTTGTCCGAAATGTAGCGTCRAATGATATGGTGTCTCCAAAATGTTTGTAATTCATTCTCGCTGTTTTATCTGCCCAAAATATTGCAATCAACTCCTTCTCATCACACTTATATTCAAAAAAAATATTCAGAGCAATGTTCTCGCCGTTTGCTCATCTTGTTTATTAACATTTGTGCATCTTTGTCACCAACGAAGAGCATAATGTCTCTTCTAAAGTTCATATGATCCCTAGCTGTCCCMCCAGATGCTACTAAACCCCCGTTCATTGCCAATTGCATTCTGCGCGACTGAGTGATACCAACTTTAGAACTGGATGCGTGATAAACATTCCTTCGTTCCTTGTAATCAAGTTGTCGTCTTGAACGGGTGAACATCTTCTCATCCGAACGACAAAGCATATGATTATGCCCCTCTATGAAATGATAGACCTCGTACCGGCCACTCACTTTCACATAGTGTACCTTAAGGCAAGCTTTACAACCGGTACGTTTGAAATTTGTATTACGCCTTTTCCTCTCTCCCGATGAAACTTCTAACGAATCAAATTCCTTTTTCGGTGGATTACCCTCCTTGCTACAAACGAAATAACGGGTTTGCACTTCACCCAACGCATTCAATTTTTTGCTTCCCAACCGGATATCAAACCTAGCAACATCACCGTATTTCCTATACATATTTTCTACGGACTCAACCGATGAAAAGAAGTCACCAACCTTTGGACATATATTGCTATCAACGTTTGGTACCCATATCTTCGTGCCCCCTGGTGATTCCCCCATTTCTTGTGATAATTCATTTAACAATTGTAAAAAGATAATACAAGATAGTTACACTTATGAATATTAACATGATTAATATGTTTCATTACCTCCTATTAGTGAAACAGTTTCACTATGTGAAAGGTTCAATTGATAACAAATAATGAAACAGTATCACTATGTGAAAGGTTCAATTATACATTTCTTCGTTTGCTTATTCCAGAATTTTTTGCAGATTGTAATTCATTTGATTTATGCAAAACATATGGACAATATATGTTATTCGTATTTTGCATCTTCACATCTTCACTCTGATAAAAAAACATAACCATATTCTCAAATCCTACTAACTAATTTGTAAAAATACTACAACTACGAAACGAATTCAAGGCAACAAAGACGAACGAACATTATACAAAAATTCATACTAGGGAACGTACATCGACTTAATAATTATATTACAGAAGACATACCATAGCACCCAGCTTCATTCGCAATAGCAGTACTATATTTGTCATGAATTTCATTCGAGCAAATACCTTCTCGCTGATCACTCATTGTCGTAGAGTAACGTATTTCTCTGTGGCTTAAACGCTATGAATATATATAACATCGATGCATTTAAATAAAATTAAATTATAGTATTTTTTAATCACGGAAACCATATCATGTAAATTATGTTATTAATGAAACTGATTTAATTTGTAAAGTAATAGTAAATATTAACATATTTTAAAATATCATCCATCAATAAGTTATATCAAAATCATTCATAAAACACAACATATTCAATAATGTTTAATGAATCTTTTCAATAAAAAGTAAAATAAAAGAATGACATTATATGAATGAAATCGTTTCAAAATCTAATTGACATTTAAACGAATTTTTTACCGATCATATTTCTTATTTTATAATTACTTGTAAACAGATTCGTTACATTTAGATAATGTACTATTTTCATTGTATACTGAGCTTATTAATTTTTTTTATTACCCAATAACTTGTTTGATTGTGCTCATTTGACAATAAACTAAATTCATTTTTCGATATTTCATCATGAAATTATTTTACAAATACTCCCATTGCATATGAGTCCATTTTCTAAAAGAACAAAATCCATCATGCACCCGTTTTATTTCATTATACCAACTAAACGGATCAACTTTAAATACAATGCAACGTTGCTCAATACGAAACTAGTTCATCAATCCCCAATMAATTACATAATGAAAATGTTTCACCAACATCAAACTATTTGCTTAACTATTTCATAATGAAACCTTTTCACATATAAAAATTTACATAAACATTATTGTCATATACAATAAAGTGAAACATCGTTATTCAATCTCGAATCAGTTACAAAATGAAAATATTTCACCAGCCTGAACCTATTTGATTAACTATATTATAATATGAAACCGTTTCACATTGAAACATTTACATTCACATTAGCTTCATGTATAACAAAATTTACTATGCACCAATTTCATGATATGTATATTTCATAAATAACAAAAATCCAATATGCACCCATTTCATTTCATTCATCCAACTAAACAATTCTACCTCAATTAAAATGCAACGTTGTTCACGATGAAACATGTTCATCAATCATCAATCGTCAACATAATGAAACTGTTTCACTAGCTAACACAAATTTGCTTAACTATTTCGTAATGAAACATTTTCACCTTGAACATTTACATGAACCTTAATTTCATATTAAATTAAATAAAATTGTTTCATCATGAAACTTGTTATTCAACCTCTAGCGAAATATAAAATGAAAATGTTTCACCAACATTGACCTATTTGCTTGATTTTTATTTAATGAAACCTTTGCACATTGATGATTTACATGAACCTTAATTTCATATAAAATGAAATAAAATTGTTTCATCATGAAACTACTTATTCAGTCTCAAGTCAAATATGAAACGAAAATGTTTCACCAACATCAACCTATTTGATTAGCTATTTCGTAATGAAACTTTTGCACATCGAACATTTAAGGTTACCTTAATTTCATTTAAAATCAAATAAAACTGTTTCATCATGAAACTAGTTATTCAACCTCGAGTCAAGTATAAAATGAAAATATTTCACCAACATCAACCTATTTGCCTAACTATTCCGTAATGAAACATTTGCACATCAAAAGTGTTGCATGATCATTAATTCCATTTTCAATAAAATGAAACTGTTTCACTATTATATATTGAATCAATTATAAAATGAAAAAATGTTTTACGAAAATGAAACTATTTCATTTTAATAAACCCATTTCATTATACCAATTAAACGAATCAACTTGAAACACAAAGCAATACGGAACACAATGAAAAAATTTCACGAATCTTGCATCACTTAGAATATGAATTTTTTCTCCATCATGACACTGTTTCATTGAGGTATACCACATGCTTTGAAGAAGCAAATAAGTCATTTACATATGAAACCTCTTCATGTTTATAAAGTCTCATGAATATTTGTTTTTTTTTTCACTCACCAGCAGCAACCCACGGTTTCATCAATATATTTGTTAAAATCTTCATAAACTGTTTCATGATTCATTGAATACCAAATCATTAAAATCAAGATTTTAATAATATAATATCCTTAAATTGTGGGCCGTTTCCTTTCTTCAACATTTCTTTTATTTGATTTCCTTAAATAATATGAATTAATAACTACCATAATTATTAAATAAATGTACAAAATGACATAAATACCTTTATTCATTAAATTTAATTAAAAACAAATGGAATTTTCTTATTGGTCGAATTTGGTTTACACGGTTTTTTAGAATTGGACGGTTTTCATTTGAATCTGCCCCTATATATATATATATATATATATATATATATATATATATATATATATATAATTTAGAAAAACTGTCACACGTCCTTGCGATAAGTATCTTCTTACATGATAGTCCATTTGAAAAACGTGTTTTAATCATTCAAGAAACACGGTTACGATCATATGTTTACAAAAATGTTGAGTGAGATGTAAAGAACGGAAATAAGAAATCTATATAGAAAAGAAAGAAGGTAAATACAAAAGAAATTACCAAAGACAATACAAATCACAAAAAAATCGAATATAAGAAGACGGAAACGATAGCGAGAGTAGAATCAGATTATAAGCTTAACATACGCTAAAAAAAACCCTAATCCACATTCATATGCGTAGTAATCATACATTTAAAAAGCCTTAAATCATATTCATAATAGCGTAAAATTAGACTCGTACTACCTGATGCAAATCGATTATACATGTAACACGTGGAAAACAATGATTCATGTAAAACTTATTGGGATAGATGGAACCGAAGACAGACAGTCGAGAGGAAAAACAAATATAAAACACATTTTCAGGTTAGAGGCCTCACATATATGCAACGATATCCCATTAAAGGTCATTTTGGTCTTTTAAAATTATTACGGTAACCAGATTGAGTAACTGAACAATTATTATAAAAAAGACAGGGATGTCATCATTAAAACTATTGTGATGTACCGATTTGAAAAATAATTGAACATAATAAGGGACTCTACAGACTGTACAATTCAATTTTGTCCCAAGACTTTGTTGCCAATAGGTGATTATCCAACAAAATACTGTAATCGGATAGGCTTGGAGGCAAGAACGAGTGTCAATACTCGAACTTGATTGGTGCAAAATTGACAATGTTGAAAAGGATTGTTTTTGGGCGACGATTAGGGAATACTAGAAGGCTACTCGTGCAATGCAACGAAATACATCTTGATTTTAATATTTTAATTTATTATTTATCTCAATTGATGTTATAGTATGATCTTATGTGATTTTGAAAAAGCGATATTGTTTTTATTTTTGAATAAAATATAAACTTAAAGATATCATAAAAACTTGACAAAAATATATCGATATTACTATCAAATTAACTATTTAAAATTCATATTTTTTGTGTAATTTTTTAATTCAATTTTTTTATTATAATTTAATTTATGTTCAATAACGAAATCATTTATATTTGGTTTAATAATATAATTTTTTTATAAAGATAATAATTAATTATTTTGTTAGAACCCGATAATTATCTTAATTATGTTTTAGATTTTTTATATTTTAAAATGAGATATTTATCCTTTATTTGATTATATTTATCCGCAGTTAGTTACATAAATTCAAACATGGAGCTTTAATAAGTTGTATTTATGCATAATTTACTTGTAATCTTGAATTTTAAGTAATATACATCAATATAAAGTATTTCATACATAAAAAAAATGATTTTTAAGAGTTTTTTGTCAAATGCTTTATAATATAGTATAGATAATATGTTGTATTTTACTTATACTGTCATCATATTGCATATTACTAACTGTTTTATTTTGCTCAAACAACAAAAGTGGAATTACAGTATTGTAATAAAGAAATTTATGAAAGTAAGTTATTATATATACGTCTAACCCTTTCAGTTATGTATGAATTGATCTCGATTTTTTAAATCGATTATCTTGAAGTCTTTATTGGAGCAAGTAAAGTATATCGTATAAACCACTTCTATCAGATAGCTTAGGCATTCAGATATTGTTCGTTTTTATTAGATAGCGATTTGGATAAGTGTGGATATTTTCATATTCATCCATTTAGATAATAAATAATTTGTCGTACAATGATCTTGTACTATAAACGATACATATATTCAATGAAAAAAGCAAAAGGAGGCTAGCAGATACGACGTCCCTCTAATTTTGATAGTCAGTACAGATGATTAAACTCGAACTTAACCCAATTTTTTAATATTACCCAGAACAATCAACAATACATTTATGAATATATAACAAAAGTTTCGCCTTTTTAAATATGATTTTCGGATTTTTTTAAAAAATATATAAAAATACATACACCCTTTGGAGCACATGCTCTACATGCATGATGCATGTCTGTATTTTGATACTAGTTGTGAACCCGTACAATACAGTTGGATGTAAATAATATTGAAGACTTTGTTACTTTAAAGCTTTTGTAACTTGGTTAGACCACTTGCTAAAAATCACACATAGCTACATCCCAAACAACCAAACGAAGTAACATGGACGGATCTACAGTGGCGCCAACAGCTACAACTGCCACCATATTATTTCTTCACCGAAGGGTAAAAAAATTTAAGTTCGTGAAAGGTGCGACGGTATTGATTTATTGTGTGCCACCATATGTATTTTGAAACTACAATCAAGTTTTCCTTGATATAATTGGTTTGCAAATCTTTTATTCTACCCTAGACCTGAGTTTGAATCATCGTAGTGTCATTTTCTTAGCCAAATAGTGTCGCCCTTCGAAACAATTTTCCTATATAGTTGGTTTGCAAGTATTTTATTCCAGCCACACCTCCTGTTGCAGAATGAGATGAGATAAAGTAAAATCATCAACAGAAGCAATCACAAATGAAACTATGATTGTACTTTGTTGTTGACCTACTTTGACTTTATTTTACCGTCCGACGGATTAATTGGTGCATATAAGATAGCCTGAAAACCCACGTTTACCCTAAAAAAGATATGTATCCTCGTTCACGTTAAGTTTATACTAGTGTTGAATGTCTAATTGTCTGTAAAGATTCGTATTTTCTTCGATACACGTTTATTTGCTCGATCACGAGATTCTTTGTTACAGTCTGTTACAGTTTTTGACATGTTCGTTACGACAAGGGGTGTAAACAATTGGAGCTTTTAACGAGCTACTCAATCTATAGTCAATCTTGAACACAAAATCGAACTCGTTTGAAAACTCCATTAAAATTTTCAAATTGAACCATGAAAATTATCAAGCGCTGACCAATAAACGAGTTAATCAATCATACGTTCAAGCTCATAAACGAACATCAAGCTCGAACACGATAATTCAAAAAACATTCGAGATCAAGCTCGAACCTTACTTTGAAAAAGCTATTTTCACGAGTCGAGCTCTAACAACTTGCTACTCGTCTCGTTTACAACCCCGTTTTTTATCAAAACTAAAAATTGTTGCACGAATTTCAACACCAAACACAATAATTTCCATTTATAACCCTAATTAACAAGCAATAACCACAAATATGTAACAAAAATTTCACCATTTTTAAGACCATGAAACTAGCCTAGAAATCACCATAACCAATTCAATCTCTATATAGCTAGCAAACCATCTGTTTATACCCTTAAAGCCACAGGATCTTGCCAGGAGATCTTCCTCTTCCCGGCTCGACCAGAACCAGAACCCGAACCCGAACCAGAACCGATGTTCCTATAGATTGGATCATAGCTCACATTTGTACGCTGCTCGTTTTGGATCATACCCCGAGTTGGAGCATCAAACAGCTCTTGTAATTCCTCTTCTTCTCTCTGTAATCAAGAAACGAAGAATAAGAACAAGAAACGAAGGAGCATTGAGCTTAATAAAAAGTCTTGCAGCTTACAGATATCTGGTTCAAGTCGATTACAGGCTTGTGGGTGGGTCGTTGAGTCAAATCAAGAAACGTCGAAACCTTTGGTCCATTGATCCGAACCCTTTGGTGTGCGATCCCTCTATGAATGGATCGTTGTTCTTTTACACCGTGTAAAGAAATCCCAAGATTCAGGTCGAACTCAGGAGATGGGGGCGCTTTTTTCTTCTTCTCTGTAGGTTGTGGGGGCAATTTGCGCAACTTTTTGGAACGGTCCAGCTCCTTTTTACTTTTCGTGAATTGGGTAGAAACTTGTTCTTGTGGCGGGTTTGATGACTTGTCTTTCAGTAGAAACTTGTGTCTTCGCCTCAAGAACCTGCGTTTGTAGACAACAAAACATGACAACACGAAGCTATGGGGATAATAAGTTGCTCGTCATGATCAAGTGTTTTGTTTTGTTCGAGTCCCACGTACAACGACAGACTTAATCCCCTTCTCTACTCAACGGCTCGTTTGAATGGCATCAGTCTAATCCGTCTAGCCTCCATGAGAGGGGGCGTGTTAGAGTCTCACGTTCGCTTAACTTTGACGTTTCTACATCTTAAATCCACATATTAAACACGTAAAATAGCGAGAACAGATCGAGATGCCAATACCTAACTTCAGCTTGTAAGGTCAGTTTCTTCTGCTTCAAGGCCATCAAGTTGTTTCTTGCATCCTCTGTTTCCTGTTAAATGGCATAGAATGCTGTCATTCAAGATAGTTATATATTTCCATGACGGGATCAGACCAAAGGTTTTTCGTGAGACCCGTAAGACCAATTCTCGATCCTTGGATTAAATTTACAACCGTCAGACCCGAACATGGGTCTCACGAAAAACTTGTTCTCATGTGAACCCAACGCTATATTCCATATATCAAAAGAATGAACAGCAACTACTCCTCTAATCATCAAAACCAGACAGCAGAATGCCAAATCAATGCCCAAAATTAGCTATCAAAGATTCAATGCTAGGTTTATGTTGTTGATTTTGTTATTTTTTTGGGTCAAAACCTAACCATGATTACTAGGAAGATAGCAAAATTATGAAGAACCCTAATTTATTGACAGATGATTGGATCAGAGGTCTCATGGATTAATGTTCAAAGAAGATCGACAAGGATGAGAGATGTATCTATTGATCAATCATATATGTATCCACAGAACCCTAAAAGATATCGAAGCATAAACAAACAAACAAACAAACCCTAACCAGAATCCAAGAAACCATTAAAACAGAAACGAAATACCTGCTGCAACTCCAAGAAATCTTGAAGAAGGGTTTGATGCTTAAATCTTGCCCTAGCATCCTCATACGACACATGAGGAGATGGATCAAAAGCAACCCTTTTCATCTTCTTATTACTACTCATCAGATCTCAAATCTTCTTGAAACCAAAACCAAATTCGCAGAAAGACGAAAGGGGGTGGGGAAAAGATGAGAGAAGGGTGTGTGGTGTGGGGAAGAAAGAGTTAAATAAAGAGAGATGAATTGATGAGAAGGTTCTTCTTGCTTTTCCTGTTTTCTCTGTTTGTTTATCTGACCAAATAGAAAACCCCAAAAAGACCACATTTTTGGGAGGTTGCAGAAGGGTATTTGTGGCAAAAAAAGCCATGATCAAATTGGTGTTGTATGTGAGGTGGATTTGGTTGGAAATTGAAGGCATCTCCTATCATCCCAATCTCTTCTCTTTTTTTTAATTTTCTTCAAGATTTTGTATTTGGTATATCTTCTTGTATGTACATCTTGGTCCAGCTGGGCCATTGATGAGGGGGGGTTGGATGGTCTGTGTGGACTCTAGTTTCTTGATGATGGGTTTGTGGGTGGTGCAGTTTAGTCTTTTAATGGGTGTTTGTTGCCTCTGGAAGGAAGGAATATAGAAAGAGAAAGGGGTAAAATAGGAAATTAAGTGAGAGAGAGAGAGAGAGATGCAGTTGGTGATGGCACCTTGTTTTTAGGCCTGAATTTCGTTGCTGGCTGGTTTTCATCTGGGATGTGATTGTGATGCTGATTCAGAAAGGAAATTACTTTTTTGCCCTTCTTATTCTCTTTTTTTCTTTGAGTCAATTTTATTTTTTACCACTGTTATGGAATGATTTAGTCAAAGCATTGTGAAACTTAAGCTAAGATTTACTATTACGAAATATTTTAAGGAATTACTGGAAGGGTATTCACGTAATGTAGCGAGATACATTTCGATTTTAATTTTTTATTTTATTATTTGTCTCTGTCGATGTTATAATACGATTTTATGTGTTTTTAAGAAAACAATAATGATTTTATTTTTGAGCAAAATATAAATTTGAAAATATCATAAAAATTAAATATATATATATATATCAATGTTAATATCAAATCAAATATTTAAAAGTTCTCATTTTTTTTTTATTATAATTTAATTTAGGTTTAATAATGAATTAATTTATTTTTGGTTAATAGTATAACATTTTATAAAGATAATAATTAAATATTTTGTTAGAATTCAATGATTATCCTAATCATATTTTA